CTCCCTTTTTTGAAACTCATAAAAACACCACAATTCCCACACCATCCACACTTATTTATACTCTCCCTCAAAAACACCTTCCAAACATGATCATCCTTTTATTTAAATATGTAATCATCATTTTCACCCTTAGTTTTTAATTTCTTTTCTAAATGTATTAATTGTAATCCTCCATCCTTATATTCGTTTTCCAATACCTCTCTTGCAATCCTCACCCCTCTCCCATCCCAAATAAATTCACTCACTAATCTATTAATTTCTTTAATTATCCTATCTGGAACATCTAAGACATTCATATATACTAATTTGCTCATTATCAAGCCAATTACCACTATAACTTTCCCTCTCTTTAACTTCCTCATCCTCCAGAACCTCAACGTCTCTCTGGATATCACTAACAATTCCCTCATACTGTACATCCCTCCCCTCTACATCACTTATACCTAAATTAATCCCCAGCACTCTAAAAAACCCTTTATTTTCTTTCAAACCTATCTCCATTCCCTCTACTCTAACGTTCCCCAAAACCATACATTCAGATTTCCCCACATTAACTTTTGCACCCAAAGCCCTGCCATATAACCCTGCACTTTCAAAAATCCCTTTCACACTCCCCATATCTTTAACTGTCACCGACGTGTCATCAGCATACTGGTATATAAGGCTAATTCTCCCCCCTGGCACCTCAACCCCCCTCACGTTCACATTGCCCCTTAATAGTGCCGCAAGAGGCTCAGCTGACAAAGAGTACAGCATAGCAGAGAGGGGGCACCCCTGCCGGACTGACCTCCCTAACCTAAACACATTCGAAATTACCCCATTTACCTTTACACAACTCCACACATTTTTGTATATTCTTCTGATCCACCCAACTAACCTTATCCCAAATCCCATCTTCTCTAGCACCCTAAATAAATATTCATGACACACTATCAAAAGCCTTTCCAAATCCAAACTAACTAAAACCCCCCCTTTCCCTCCCATCATATCATTTATTGCATCCCTAATGCTACTTGTTGTATCACTAATGTCCCTCCCCGGTATACTGTAAGCCTGCATGCTCCCCACCACCGTGCCAATAACCTTCTTTATCCTGTTCGCCAAAACCCTAGCTAAAATGTTGTAGTCGCTGTTCAACATACCCAAAGGCCTGTAGTTGCTCAATTCATCCCTACACCCTTTCTTAAATAATATACTGATAACCCCTGTGGACAGGCCAGCCGGCAGCTCCTCCCTCTCTTCCAGCTTTTGAAACAAAAGTGTAAGGATGGGCACCAAAACCTCCCTGAACTCAACATAAAACTCCGTGGTCAACCCATCCAATCCCGGACTCTTATTCCTCCCCATCCCAACTATTGCTAAATCAACCTCCCCTCTTCCTATCTCTCCTCACATAAATCCCTACCTTCCTCAACACATCTCCAAACGTTCTACAACCTCATCCAAACTTTCAAATCCACCTCCTCCTCTTTAAATAAATCCCTGTAAAAACCCGCAACACTAAATCTGTTATCATTTCTCCCCCTACCTTCTATCTGTTTAATATAACTATTCCCTGGTTCCTTTTCTCCAACCCCAAAAAAAACCCAGTACATTTCTCACCCTCCACCAAATACTTCGCTCTACTCCTTACTATCGCTCCCATACATTTCTCCTTTTCTAAAGCACCCAACTCATCTTTTAACCTATTGTATTTCCCTAGATCTCTCCCTGTTTCCTCATCCACCCTCTCCGCCTCTCTATCCAGTTCCTCCCTTACTCTTTTTTCCCTCCCTCTCTTTTTTTATTTCTGCTCCTACTATATTCTATACTCATCTTCTTTATCTCACTCTTTAACTCCTCCCACCACACACCCACATCCATTCTCCCTTTATTTAATATGCATTCATTCACTTTCTTTTTATACCCCTCCTCTTTCAACAACATCGCATTCAAACACCACACTCTCCCACCCTTTCTGTTACGATCACTGTAAGATCGCGGAAAAGGTAGGACCCAAATGCAGACTACAAAAACGGAAAAAGGTTTAGAAACAAAAAGCGAGCTTTATTTAAAAGCTGATAACAAAACATGGCATGAATCAAAACGGTAGCTCAGGAAAACAATAACACAAAAACTGACCGTGAAAAACATGGAGGAAGACCGGAGAGAAAACATGAAACGTGACGTGAAGGGAGGACTAACAAACAATGAACCGACAGGGAACACAGGAAGAGACAAGACTAAATACAGGGAGGGGTAATCAAGGAACAAGAAACAGCTGGGTAAAGGAGGGAGAAACACAAGGGCAACAGGTGAACACAATCAGACACACCAGGGAAACTTAACGACGGGGAGAAGGACCAGACAAGAAACAAAGAGGAAAACATTTCAAAACAAAGGTGGAAAATGAAAACATAAATACAAAACCGTAAGACTTTCCCCTACATTCATTCCTCAAACTAAAGAAAAATAAACCATGATCACTAAGAGTAGTGCTTCTATACTCCATTTCTCCCCCATATTTTCTTTACACAACATAAAATCAATTACTCTGCTTCAAAACACCCTTGACCACCTGATTTTCAAAAAAAACTCCCATACATGTTCCTCTCCCTCCATTAATCCTTCAAGCCATTCACTCTCATCACGTTTTTCAAGGCACCTCTAGAGGAATCATTTTTAAACACCATACCAACCGAAACATCAGTTAACCCACACCACACATTAAAGTCGCCCACCACCATACAGTTCCCCCCACATTTCCCATCCAAACCTTCAAAAAATAGCTTCCTCTCCTTCTCCTCGTTGGGAGCATACACATTAATCAGTTTAAACGTTTCACCCATATATTCAAATAATACACCATCATTCTCCACCTCCCTCACATTCTCCACCACCCCACCTTTAACTAATATCGCCACCCCTCTAGCATTCAACCCTCCATTATTAACAAAAACATCACCCATCCATTCCATTCTCACATCCCCCACATCATCCCAGTGGGTTTCTTGAAAACAAATAATATCCCCCGAACAAAACAAAATAGCCTGGTCTCTCCTGTCCTTAGTTTTAAGGCCACAGCCATTAAAAGAGACAAAAGTCACCATCAAACATACGTAGTGAAAGAAGGAACACATTTTTTTTTACCCCATGTCTAAGTATTCCATCTTGGGTCTTTCACAATCCTCCGGGTTGCCTCTCTGCTTCTCGCACATCCCCTCCCTTCAGAAGTCCCCGGGGCTCCAACACCCCCCGCCTAGGCGAGGACACTCCACGCTTAGCTGTTGTAGACCTCGTGCTGGGGCTCCTGCTCCTCAGCACCAGATCCATGCTGTCATCTACCCAACGACCTCCCTCATCAAAGTCACCGACCGACACACGAGCAATCTCCCTCATCGGACCAGAAAGAACCGGCACGATCCCACTCTCCTCCTCGTTCAGCTGCTTCTCCATCACCGACTCTTTTGCAGCAGCCGCACTCTCCTCAGCCAGCTGCTTCTCCTTCACCGTCACCGTCATCATCACAGCAGCCACGTCCACGCTCTTTTTCATACTCGTCTTCTTCCCCGTCTCCGTCTCTTCTTCCGTCTCATCACTTTACTGTTTTTATTTTTAATAGCACCACCGCTACTCCCTTCTTCCAGCAGCCTTGATTTTGTTTTCTTTTTCTTAGACTTTCCTCCCACCTTTTGTGAATATGTGTCCTGACCTCAGACAGTTTCTACTCACAGCCACCTGACGGTCGTGAATGACTCTCACGTACTCGCTCCCCCCCTCAATTATAAACTGAGTTGAGTAAGGTAAGGAAGAGACCTGCTCATTCAACCGAACTTTCAAGAAGCGAGTCCCGTCCGCCACTCTCGTCCCTGGCCTGGTTTCTTTTACAAACCTCCTCTTTATCGGCGACACTGCCTCCACCCCCCACTCACGTAGCTTCCTGAGTATGTCAGCATCCTCAATGTATATGGGCAAATACATAAAGGACACCATCACTTCCTTTGCCGACAACTCTTCCGCCCTGACCACAACCCCCTTGATTCTCAATCCCTCCAGCAACTTGTCTTTCCCCTCTTCATGTCTCATTGTGACCTCGTATCTCTCCCCCTTTATTCTGCACCCCGCACCCCAGCACCTCTCCACATTCATCCTGAATGCCGATGAGCATGTCCAACATTGTTAGCCTATTCAGGCCCCCCTCCACAATCACACCTAATGTCAGTTTTGCACAGTAGCGTAACTCTTCATTGTCTTCATCCCTCCACCTTCTTCTTCCCCCCCACCTTGACCACGTTCTTTTATCTGTTTATCGTCCTGTCTCGATCCACTTCCTTTCTCCCCGTCTGCTTTCTTGCTTCGTCCAAGCCCCGCCTCCTCTCACATCTCCCGTTTCAAACTCCTTTTCTCCTCCCGCCTCATTTTCTTCTCTCCTCCTCCGCTGTATCTCTTTGTTGACTTTCCTTTTCTTCATCAGCCTCTTCTCTTGCCTTCTGGGCCGCTTTATGAACTTGAATTGATGCTCCTCAATCCTTTTGTGAACCTGACATTTCTGGACATTCCCTAAAGATGAGCCCCGCTTTTAGACAGTTCGTGCAGACTGCCACCTGACGATCATGAATGACCCTCACATACTCACTTCCCCCCTCAACCCTAAACTGAGTTGAGTACGGTAAAGAGGTGACTCTCATTCAAACACACTTTTAAAAAACGTGTCCCATCCGCCACTCTCATCTCCGGCCTAGTTTCCTTTATGAACCTCCTTTTAAATCGTAGAGGCCGGCTTTACTCCCCACTCATACAGCTTCCTCAGAATCTCACTATCTCTTATATATATAGGCATATACATGAATGAGACCATTACCTCCATTGCCGTCAGTTCTTCAGCCTTGATCACCACTCCCTTTATCCTCACCCCCTCTAACAATTTATTTTTCCCCTCTTCATACATCGTCACCTCATATCTTTCTCCTTTTAATCTGCAACCCAGCACCACCCCACACTCATCCTGAATCCCATTCAGCATGTCCATCATTGACAGCTTTCTCAAGCCCCCCTCCACAGTCACAGCCAATGTCAGATCTGCACGATAGTTTATATCCTCATTATTTTCTTCTCTCCACCCTCCTCTTCCCCCCGTACCTTGTCCACGTTCTTTTCTGGTTCTTCTCTTGTTTCGACCCATTTCCTTCCTCTCCGTCTGTGTCCTTGCTTCGACCAAGCCCCTCCTCCTTTCACCACCATTTTCAAACTCCTCTCTGGGGAGGGCCCCCCCAGACAGCAGAGCTGTTTAGGGAGAGTTTTACCCAAAAAATACATTGAAATACAGTCAAAAATCGAGCATTTCCTCCAACTTCCCCACCAAACAATTCCTCTGCTCTTTTCCCGTACACTCACACCACGCCGCGACACTAGTGGATTTTTTTTTAAATCTTTTATTATAAAAGTTTGCACTTTACACACAATTCACATCACTGATCCCCAAAAAAAGAAAGGACCCCAATGCTTTATACTAATATACAAACAAAAACCACCACAAAATCTTCATCAAAACTAAATTTCATACATATCACTGTAAACATTCTTTTATATCATTCATCAAAATGATATAAAGCTTATCATCATCATCATCTACTTCAATTAAACTTCCTTCCACAAACTCCACCACAAAAACATCTTTCCCTTTATATAAAATAACATTCCCAAATCCCTTTTAATATTCTCTTCATTATATTCCACACTTTATCAATTCTCCCCTCATAATGGGCGGCATTTCTTCTTATCTTCACAGCATATCTTGCCTGACTGAGACACATATTCAATAAACCAACATTATACCATCCATTTTCCCATTCATACCAAATAGCCACAGCTCCTTCCATTCCAAACATTTTAACACCCTTATATCCCAACATCTATATACATTTCTTTCAATTTCCCAAAAAATACCTTTAATTCTCTACACTCAAAAACTCATGCATACAATTCTCCATCCACTCCACAAATCACATTCTCTCTTCACCTCATTATCAAACATACTTATTATCAAATTATTGAAAACCCTATTGTGTCTTAAAAGAAAATCAAACTGCTCACATTCTATACTATTGCCTTTCACTCCAGATTCATCCATATCTTTCTCACATCCATTCCACCCACACTTTTTCTGATGCTGGTCTCCTCATTTCCCAACCCAAGAATTTTATAAATTCTTTTGAACTTAAATCCCCAGTTTCATCATCCCTTCACCCACACATATAACACCACATCACTTTCCACACTCCCCACATTCTCACTTTCAATCATTCTCCCTCCATTCCCCCGGCATTCCTTCCTTTATACTCTCCAATAGACTCTCTGCTGTCCATTTCCCCATTAACAAATCCCCCCCTCTAACCTCATCAATAATCACCTGTGCCCTCATAAAACCCGGAACATATTCGTACACTAAATCCCTTACAACCCTAAATCCCGCCCTCCACATTGGCAAATTAAACATTACCTTCCCTCTTCATTATCATTTATTTTGAAAATCGGTTGCATCCATACCTGCTTCCTGTTCACACAATCATATCTAACATTCACCAAGAACTCTCCCCATGCACTCATCACTTCACCTTGAAAATCACTCATCCCACTCATCCACCCTTTCTTGAAACACATAAAAATACCACTATCCCCACCCCCCCCCACCTTATATACTATCCCTCAAAAACACTTTCCAAATATCATCCTTTTTATTTAAATATTTGATCATGGTTTTGACTCTCATTGTTTTTAACTTCCTATCTATATTTATTAATTTCAACCCCCCATCCTTATATTCATTTTCTAACACCTCCCTTGCAATCCTTACTCCCCTCCCGTCCCAGATAAATTCACTTATTTTATTTATTTCTCTAACTATCCTCTCGGCACATCTAACACATTCATAATATAAACTAATTACTCATAATTAACCCATTTACTACCACAACCTTACCTCTCAATTTCAACTTCCTCATCTTCCAAAACCTCAACGTTTTCCTCATACTTCCCACTACACCCTCGTATTGCACATCCCTCCCTTCTCTATCCTTCAACCCCAAATTAATACCCAAAACCCTAAAGAAATCCTTATTTTCTTTCAGCTCCACCTCCGCTCTCCCTACACTACCAGTCCCTAACACCATAAACTCAGACTTCTCCATATTGATTTTTGCCCCTGATGCCCTCCCATATACCTCTACACTCTCAAATACCCCTTTCACACTCTCCACATCCCTAACCGTAATTGTTGTGTCATCCGCATACTGGTAAACTACACTCACCCACCCCCTTCAACCTTCTCATTTTGTTTTCAGCAATGTCGCAAACGGCTCTGCTGACAAAGCATAGCTGAGAGAGGGTACCCCTGCCGGACTGACCTCCCTAGCTTAAACACATTAGTGACAATCCCATTAACCTTACACAACTCACCGCAATCCTCCTAATCCACCCAATAAAACCCCTCCCAAACCCCGCTTTCTCTAAAACCCTAAATAAATAATCGTGATTTACCCTATCAAAAGCCTTATTCAAATCTAAACTAATCAACACCCCACCTATCCCCCCCTTCATATAATTTGCCTTTTATGCTGCTGTAACAAAAACTATTTCCCAATTTGGGATCAATAAAGTACGATCTATCTCAATAATATCCCTTATGCTACAAATAGTGTCACTTATATCTCTACCCGGTATGCTATAAGCTTGTGTGCTCCCCACGACTGCACCTATTACCCTCTTCAACCTGTTAGACAACACCCGTGCTAACATTTTATAATCATTATTTAACATACTCAAAGGTCTATAGTTCCCTAGCTTATCCCTACTCCCCTTCTTAAACAAAATACTAATCACCCCTGTTGACAATCCATCCGGCAGTTCGTCCTTTCTCTTCAAGCATTTGAAAAGCTTTTGTAATATCGGCACTAAAATGCCCTTAAACTCACACATAAAATTCAGCAGTTAGACCGTCTAACCCAGGGCTTTTGTTTCTCCCCATGCC